TTTGTTATTAACACTAATCTTTTTTTAAAAGCAAATTGTTTTAAGAATTATCTTATGAGCCTTATACAGTTTGGAGTTAGAACTGGGTTCAAATTCTGGCCTTGCCGATGACTGGCTATGTGACATGTAAGGTCCCTTAGCCTCAGTTTCCTCATGTGCAATATGAGGAGTAATGGTACCATTTCCACTTAGGGTTGCTGTGAGAATGAAGTGAGGTAATACGTGCTGAGCACTTAGCCCAGCCCAGAGAAGCAGCCCTCCCTCCCATGAAGGGATGGGGTTGGCAATGGCTATGCTATTTCCTTTTAAAACAGCTGAGGGACCTGTAAGAAAAAGTCGGGTCATACATTGCAGCCCTGATTTGAGAAGCTGGTCTCGGACAGGGGAATATTTTGAGTTTGAAATTCCATGATGGGTTGGAATTTCTCCGATCTTTACATTTCAAAGCCAAGGGCAAGGGGCAGCCCATATTTTCTCATAGACAATTTCGGATATCCAAGGTGGGCCAATAGTGGTATGGCTCCATCCTGTGAATTTGCATAAGGCATTTTCTTACAACGGCACTGTGTGTTTGCGGGTCTTTAGGGTACACTTGAAAGAAGTTTCCCTCCTGTGTGCTTTGCTTCCACGTGGTATTGTGTGCCCCCTCCCAACTATTTCCATGAAAGTGGGGACCTTCACATTGGTTTCCTGCTGCACCCCCAGTGCTAGATCCGTGCCTGATACCGAGAGCCGATAGGTACAGCTCAGTCACTGTCAGTAGAATGAATAAATAAGTAGATCGAGTTTCAAATTGCTGAGTCTGTTTCACATTAAGTCGATTCCTAGAAGTCAAGAGCTGGGAGAAACAAAACCCATGGGGGCTAAGGGCTTGGCCATCACTTTCCATGGCTACCATTCCCATCATAATGGACTTTCTCCGAGGCTCTGTCTCCAGCCAGTCGCTTCTCCTGAGCCTGAGACCTAGATAGCTGACTGCCTACCGCACACACTGGATAACTCTACTTGGTGGCACACCAGCACCTGGAATTCCATACATCCTGCTTCTCCTTCTTTGTTCCCTCACCATTGTCCAAGCTGGAAGCCAGCTTGTCACCTTTGACCCTTCCCACTGCCTGGCACCCACATCCCTCCCATGGCCCTGCCTCACGCTCCCTCCCTAGTTCAGACATCCCTCTTCTCTCACTTGGAACTTGTAGCAAGCACCTCAGTGATCTCTCTACCTCCAATCATTTCTTCACCATCAACAGAAACGACCCTTCTAAAAGGCAACTCTGATAATATCACTGCTACTGCCACCGCAGATGGACCTAAAACCCAAATCTTCTTGGCAAGTTTCGCAAGATCACAAGAGCTGTGGTCCAGCCTCGACTCTGAACCGTGAGCCCCAGCCCTATTCCTTGCAAAGCTTCAAAGCTGCTCTTGCTCCGCTCCAGGCCTTCAGACTCGCTCAGTCTTCTGCCCAAAAAGCCCTCCCATCTTCCAGCCTTTGGAGAGCTGAAGCCTCCTCTTGCTTTGGATCTCTGCGTAGACAGATCTTAAGTGACTGCATCTTCCAAGATCTCCCTGCTCCATGTGACCTTCCAGTGAGCCTCTTCAAATGAATGGTTTCACATTCTCTGGGAAATTCATACAGCCTTTTGTGTTTGTAAACATGGCTGGTTTCACTGGCCTCTCTTACAGGTTTGATTATAGAAAAACAAGTTTTCAAGTGCCTGAACTCCAGTTTGTTTCCTAGGTTGATTTTTGAAGGGCTTTCTCTGGCTTCCTCTTAACCCTCCCCAACCCCCAGTCTGGCTTCTATCCTCGTTGCTCTGCTGTAAATGTTCTCTAGAAAGTCACCACTTTCTCCATTGCCAAAACCAATGAACTTTGCTCCCTTTTTATTCTTTCTGACTGTACATTGGACACTTGGCCAGGCCGCTGCTTTTTCCAATTCTTTTCTCCATCGGTTTCTGTGGTCTTTTATGATTTCAATTCTCCTTCCCACTATTCATCTGCTTCCGTCACTGTGTCCTCTTCCCTTTCCCACCAACCACTGGCAACTCCCAAGGATCAGTTCCTGATCCTCTTTTTTTCTCTCCTCTCTCTCACCTTAGATTTTTCATCCCCTCTCTTGACTTCAACAGTCATCTCTAAGGTTTTGCCTCCTAAATAATCTAACTTCATGTCTGTTCTCTCACCAAATCCACAATGTTGTATCTCTAACAACCTCTGGAATTTCCACATGGATTTCCGACTCACCTCCCCTCAAGCCACACTCACCATTTTCCTACCAAAAACTGAATTCCCTATCCCCCACTAGCTTTCCCAATTTTCTTCTCTGTTGCAATACCATCAATATCTGAGTACCAGGGTTAAAATCTTATTGTACCTCCAAGTTGTCGTCTTCATCCCCATATTCAACACATTACCTGGTTGGGTAGATTTTTCATTGTAGTGCCTCCCTATACATCCCTCTTTCTTTCTCTCGTTATACCAATCTAATCTTTTCTCCCCACCAATCTCTAGTCTCTACTTTTTCCTCTAATCACACCAGCCACCCTATAAACATGATGCAATTATTATTGAAAGCATTTCCTCATATCCCCCACATCCAGAATGTTCTTCCCACCCCTTTCTGCCTCCCCGATTAGATCCGTCCTTTAAAGGTCATCCTACAACTAACTTCCCTCCTGTAGCTATCTATGTTGTTTCCAACCCTTAGGCCTTTTCACACATTGTTCTTGAGGAGTAGGAAACATCCAGAATGTTTCCTACTCCTCAAGCCCTATTCATTTATCCCTTATGGAAAAAGACATGTACTATGCACTGGGGGTACCTGAATGAATAAGACCTAGCACACTGCTGTAGAGCACTCAGCTAAAGATTCCTCTCCTCTGTGATATTCTCATGACTCCCATAGACTGAACTATCAGCTCCCTTATCTGTGGGTCTAAGTACCATCTCACAACCTACTTCTTTGATTTTGTATTCCTATTGCTTAGATCAGCGAATAAATATCTCCCTTTTGGCATCTAGCTCATTACATGATAGTTATCTGTTTAGGTGACTGTATCTTTTACTAGAATGTGAATCTCTTGAAATGATACCCTCTCACTCTTGTTTCTTTAACATCCATCACAGTGCCAGGCACAGTGTAAGTACTCAATAACTATTTGAACAGATGGAGAAATAAGTAAATGGATGAATGGATAGATGGTTGGGTGGATGAATGGATGGATGGACAGGTAGATGGAAAGGTAAATAGATGGAAGGGTGGATAAAGATAAACAGATGGACAAATGGATGGATGTGTAGACAGATCAATGGAGGAAAAAATGAGATGGATGGATGGATGGATAAACAGCTGAATGAATGGACAAATGAATAGATTAAAGGATGGACAGATGGATGGATGGATGGATGAAAAAAAACCCTGCAGTTAAGAGAGACTTCAGTGGTTATCTTCTGAACCATTGTAAGAATTCCTTTTAAAAGAACTTTGAGAGCTCAGCCATCCTTCAAAAACACCAGCAGTAAATTTAAATTTATCCGTAATTATTGGGAAAGGAGGTTATGCTTAATTGACTAGTCATATTGAATAGTGGACTAGCGTATATCTCATACATGGATTGTCAATTCTCTAAAAATTAAAATTAATAGAATGCATTTAGAACAAAAGCTCTACTGAGCAATATATTTACTTGGGGATTCTGAAAACCCTTAGAAACCTTAGTGCTTCAAAGACCCCAATGAGAATCACTTAGGGGTATACAGGCTGGCGTAAATCATTTAAATGCCTGAGAGTGAGAGTTTTTCATTTAAACTATGTAATATAGATACCCACACATTCACGTCAGCCATTTCTCTGATGATTTGGGTTTCCAAAATTGATTTGACAATATGCAGGAGCTTCTCTACAGTAATATCCTAAATAGAGTATTTGGCAAACATCGGGCAAACTTGCAGACCATTTGTCTATCTCCCTCGGACACCTCATTGACACATGGATGGCTCAGGCAGAGATTCATCAAGTGTGTCAAGCAATATCTGAAAAAGTTGGATCCCAAGGAGGTGAACATGGTCACATCTGTCTACTAAGCCAAGTTCATCTGGAAAGTCCTGCCATAAGAGATGAACCCGTTGAAAGTTTAAAAACTGTCCAGTTTACCTATGTTCCATCTTCCCCTTAATCTCCAGTTATATGGCCCCAGGCTGGAGCACTGATCTTGCTTGGATAAAAATTATTTCCTCCCTTTCTTATTTTTCCCTCGCTCCGTCTCTCCCTTCCTCCTTTCCTTCCTTCCTTCCTTCCATACTTTATTTCTTTCTACTTTCCTTTCCCCACCGCTGCCTTAGCATTTCACATTTCTAAGCATTCCCTGCATATTAAACCTTTATAGACTATATTATATATCATGTGCATTTCATTTATTGAGGAAGAATCCGTGCTTTATGTGACTCAGTATCTTCAGTAGCTACAGGATTCAATAAATGTTTGGTGAATAAGAAATTGGTGTAGGGCTCACTATATTAATATATATTACATTGTGTTGCAATTATTTACATATCTAAATATATATAATAATCCTGTGTGTGATGGAAAGAAATTAATGCCCCCATTTTTCAGATGAGCAAACTGAGGCTCAGAGGCATTATGAGACTATCCTGAGTTTTCATGGTTAGTATATGATGGACTAAAATGCAAGCCTTAGGAATTTTACCCGTGTCCATCCTACTTGTCCACTGTACCTTTCATGTTATTTAAGACCCATGAGGAATAATTCCATCACTTCTGTGTGTTGTAACAGATGTGGGCAGGATCTTTAACTTTGAGTTGAAGGAATGACAAATTGTTTTCATTCTTCCCTTTGCTGAATAAAGGCAACTGTCGATTCGTGTAAACTGTGGGGTAAAAGAGCATGTGGGCATGTGCTACTGTTGTGTAAACCCACTCTCTACACAGACAGTAAGTGTCAGTTAGCTATTGATGTATAACAAACTGCCCCAAAGCTCAGTGGCTTGAAACAATAGGCATTTATTATCGCTCACAAAATCATGGATCAGCAGGGTGGTACCTCTGGGTTCACTGGGCTCTCTCATGAGCCTGTGGGCAGCTGCGGATTGGGTAGGCAACTCTGCTGATTTTGCCTGAGCACTCTCCCACATTCGGCACCAGGCTGGCTCTAGGTTGCTCTAGGATGGTCTTGGCTGAGCTCAGTGGACTCTCCTCCATATGCTCTCTCGTTCTCCAGCAGGCTGGCCAGGCTTGTTCACACACAGTGGTAAGATTCCAAGAGGGCCAAGCAGAAGCGTGTAAGGTCTCTGGATGGCTAGACTGGGAAATGGGGCACCATTGCTACCACTGTGTTCTATCAGTTAAAGGGAGTCACAGGTCCACCCAGACCAGGGCTGTGGAATAGTCTCCACCTCTTGATGGGAGAGCTGCAAAGTCACAATGCAAAGAGCGTGCCTGTAGGAAGACAAGGAGGATTAGGGCCATCTTTGCACTCGAGCCCCGACACGAGCACAGCCCCCATTTCCTGGTGCTCCCCTCCTGTTGCTCCAGTTCTGCAGGGTTTGTCAAGGGGTCAGACTTCCCACGGGGAATCGCTGAGGCTGCCTCTCCGAACTTTTCCCGAGCAAAGTAAAGTACCTCATTTCTATTTTAAAAAGCATTTTAAGAGGGAAAATATAAGAATGTCAAGGAGAACTGCAATTCATTTTCTGAAAATTAATTGGGTTTAGAGGACAGTAGGAGTGAAAAATTTGGCCATTAGATTTCATCATGACAGAGATTATTGTTTAATATTTGAAAGCCCTTAACTTGCCGTGAAGAATATATGTGACACAGAGCAGGATACAGGTTTATCTGGAACAGTCTGCTGCTGGGAAATTTATTTTCGTCATCCCCCACTCCCCCAATGAGATACTGCTTTGAAAGGCGGTCCATGTCTGCTCCAGGAAAGAAGTATAAAGGGATGGGCCTGTATCTGTGCTCAGTTATTTCACCCTAGATGTATGGATCCTTATTTTAAGACTGTTGCTTCCTGAATCTGAGACTGGCTGTGTTTTTACAAAGTTAAAAAGACCCACTAGACAGTCTTTCAGATACACGAGGGCAGGCTGAGCTTCTGCAGAACGACCTTCAGCTTGATCTTAACAAACAATTTCCTGCCCTTGAAAGTGACTTATGGAAGTGGATACTGAACTCTCCTTTTCTAAACTGGAGGTTTTAAAAATAAGGTGAACTGATCATCCAATAGGTATGTGAGTTTGCTCCTGATTAAAAAGCAGAGGGCCAGCCTCAGTGGCTTAAATTTCCATTTTTTAGGGTTCAGTTTTATACCGTCAGTAAAGACCTTCATGTCAGCCCCATCCTGTCCTATAGCTCTGCCACAAACACAAAGCCAAGGACACATCGCCTCCTGTGGACAGGTGTTGGGAAAGCCATCGTTGATAGTAGCCCATTGCTGCCAGAGGGGATGTGCAGAGAAGTACTGCTGATTATGAAGATGGCGACTCACAGTTTCTCCATTACTCATTTTCAGGCTCCTGCTTTTATACGTCAGGCAGAACTATTTTATTTTCCTTCATCTCTGGAGTTGAACTTAGGATATTTCCTATAGTTCATACAAGACTCTTGTCCAAAGAAAAGGATTTGTCCCTTATAACAGAGCCTCCAAACTCCAAATCTCTTGCCTTGCAAGGATGGCCACCACACCAGGCCTGCCCCGAAAGAAACAGCCCCAGCAGGGGTGCCCACACCAGCCCAGATGGGGGAGGAAAATAGTCTTTGGAATTGTAAGACAAAGGGAACACTGTCTACTCAAGGAAAGGTAAAATCTCCATCTCTAAAAGCAACCAGTGAAAGGAAGATGTGTTTAAAATTGTTTTGAAAATTTTGTTTGTATAATATACCACTTTAATTGGAAAGAAGTATTTGGCATTTGTACATTCTGATATTTCAGGGATTTTCTATAAGTGCTTTGAATAACTTTAAGAAGCTGAGCTAGGCTGGCAGATCCTTGTTAAACTCTTAGAATGCTATGTCCAGACGCTTTCCCCCAAGACTTGCATATTTAATAGTCTGTAAAAATTCTAAGTATGCTCCCTGCTTGGTCGCGGCACTATGAACACTGGGCCGTCCCTCACACTTTGCACTTGTGTCGGGCATCATGTCATCTTTCGAAGTCCTTGCGCACTGGCTGCCACATTGTGGGTTTGGAGTGGTCCTCTGAGGATGCTATTTTGACTTCTGTCTCATGAACTCTGAAATCAAGGTCCAATCATGGGCCTGGATTCATTCAACAGACACTCATGGGTGCCCTGCCCTCAGCCTGGTTCCAAAGGCAGTGTCTCATTAGTGGCAGGGGACCCTTAGCTGTAGCCTTGTTCCCTAACCTCCTTTCACTGTGTATTTGTTCAAATTTCTAGCATTTACATGGCAATGCTGTATTAGGAGAAAGACACAGTTTCCACCTTCAAGGAGACTCTAATCTGGAAGGAGCACTCACTCACCCCAACTCTACCCAGCTTTACGGTGGGACCTGCTGTGTTAAATGTTTGAGCACCAATGCCCAAATCCTGAAATTATTGGAAAAGTATGTTTCTGTTAGTCACATCCACCTGCCTTCAATCCACCACCTACCGTGGGTAGTTCTTTTACATAATTAGTTCAGAAAATGATTTTTAAACTAAGATTAAATTATATTTTTGTATTTTTTAAGTGTATCAGTATGTTATAGACCCTCTCTTGCTCAAGGCAATCAGATAGATCTAGTCCCCAACTGTGGCCCTCTATTCTTACAGTTAGCAAGGAGTCAAGATGAGCAAATTCCAGGCTTTAATATTCAAGCAAGAAGAAATAGACCGTTATGGGGCCTGGCTGGTGGCATAGTGATTAAGTTTGCACGTTCTGCTTTGGCCACCCAGGGTTCGCAGGTTCAGATCCTGGCCACGGACCTACACACCGCTCATCAAGATATGCTGTGGTGGCATCCCACATACAAAATAGAGGAAGGTTAGGACAGACGTTAGCTCAGGGCCAAACTTCCTCACCAAATAAATAAATAAAAATTAATAAACCATTATGCTTCCTTTCACTAAACTGAAACACTGTCAATTATATGTTCCTTTTTCTCGACATGAAAGAATTTTTAGGGAAGCGTTGTTTTCATCTCTTCCTGAATCCAAGTGAAATCCACATCTTTTGCATATTTCCTGCATTAGACTTTTATTGTGTGCATGGAAATCAATATAGCAGATACATGCACAAGTGCACACATTAAAATGAACATGACTTCATTTATTTCCATGATTAGACATTCAAATCAAAGTGCTGGGGTGTCTGTTTTCATATTCATAGGTCGAGATCCGTACATCAGAGGTATTTGTATAACTGACACTTTTATTACATTCATTTCATTTGCAATATGATAGTGGATCATAAATATGTTACTTTTATGTCACCAAATCTGATTTGTGGCACTTAGCCCTCACAAGGAGAATACTTGATATTTTATGGGGCACCTTTCATCCAAGAAGCGCTTTGCAGACATCAGGCTGGGTTCTACCAGGTGTGTAAATCACGCTCATGACCACTTGGATGCCCCACCTGCTTTATCCACCTCCTGGCTCCTACTGGAGGGGTGCACAGCAGTTAGTGAGTCTCCTGCAGGCCCTGAGGTGTGATGAGACCTTTAAATTTTGGAAGAAAGAGGCTCCTGCCACACAGAAGCCCTTAGAGCTCACAGAACTCCACATTTCCGTGTTCAGCTGGTCCTTCGTGAAACGAGTTTGAACCCCTACTCTAGGCTGATGCTGTATTAAGCCCTGGAGACACAGGGACAAGTAAAACATGGCCCTTGCCTTCCAGATATTCACAAACTAGGAGGGAGGGCCATGTGCAACAGTAATTGTCCCCCACCCCATGATGGGGCTCTGATGCAGAGCTGACAATATGTGCCCCACCCCCTGTCACCCATGCCCTCCCAGGCCTACACTGTGCCCGAAAGCGCTTTGTCAAGCCCCCAGGTCTGTAACAGGTATATTGGTGCCCAGGCAAGCCAGTGACAATTGGACTGAAAGAAGAGACCAACCATCAAACATCACAGTCAGTCAGAGAAGAGAATCATGGGTGCCCCACCCACCATCCCATCCCTCCCACCCCCCCCACCCCTGCCCTCAACTCACCTTCTCCTTTCCCCAGCATCAGCTTCCCAATCCTGGACCAGCCCTCCTCCCCCTGCACACACCAGTTATACATACCCGGAGCTCCTGTAGTATCCTTCATAGCACTTACCACATCGGAGAATCATTAACATGTGTGACAGAAACAGCAGAGCACAGTGGTTAAGAGGGAGGGCCCTGGAGCCAGGTTTTCTGAGTTCAACTCCCCCCTACATCACTTACAGCATGCATGGCCTTGGGCAGGTTACTTTTCTGTACCTCAATTTTCTCATCTGCAAAATGGGCATAATCGTGATACTTCCCTATCACGTTGTCGTGAAGACTGAATGACCTGATATGAATAGAGGGCTTCACTGAGTGCCCCATAGCTACTGTGGTGGTTGTCATTGACATTTTCAGTATTATAATAACACTCCAGTATGAGTCACATACATATAATAATAGTGATGCCAGTATTATTATTATTACCGTCACTGTTATTATATAATTTATGTCTCTCTCTACCATAAGTGAGCTCCGTGGCAGCAAGACCCATCTGTGTGGCTCACCATTTCATCCCCACAGCAGATGGCACATAGTAGATGAGCAAAAAATATTTATTGAAGAATGAATGGGCAGACAACGAAGGAACAAGTGAGTCCACCCACCTATTTGGTGCCAGTGCCAGACGGCTTCTTCAAAAGCATCATTGCCACTTGTGGCCACTGACCCTGCAATCGTGTCTCCAAGGCCTCGGTGTTCAGGTCTGCCCATTTCCACATGGAAAAGCCTTAAATTCCTCTTCCTGTGTGACTAGCCTACAACAGACTCACCTTTTCCCAACTAGCCCACCATCCACACGTCTCCAGGAGGGTGCTGCTCTGTCCGAGGTGAGATGCTCTGAGGGGCGCCGACTCCTCTGGCCTGATACGCGGTGGAGCTGGTGTTTGTACCGGATCCCCTGGCCCCACTGCAACACCTGTGTCACCCCCTGCTCTGCTTTGGTGCCCTACAGGGGGGCGAGCTCCTGCTCCGCCCCAGCAGCTACTGACCATGAGTTCCCCGGGAGCTGGACAGAGCCACCTTCCCAAGGCCTGCGTGGTGTCCCAGGCACTGCGTCATCTCCTTGATTCTGGCGGTTCTTGGAAGCCGTGCCCACGCCTGGCCCAGATACCGTGCCTGCATTCCACAGCAGTTTAAAACCGTTGAGTAGAGCCAGTGCTGAAGCCACATGTGCAGAAGATTTGTCTATCAACTTATGAACCTTTACATAATTAGGGCGTTATCACCAGAGGGTGATTGCATTTTGCAGTTGCTGGGGGGTTTCTGATAGTGCCGGGAGTCCTGTAGTCACAGAGATTGGGGGGAGGGGCTTTGCTTTGGGAGGGCAGGAGCAGGCTGGAAGGGAGCATGAGGTTGCACACTAGTCCCCTGGCAACTGGTCACTTGCTAAGAGTGCTCCAAGTGTGGGCCCCAAAGCACAGAAGATGGAGCTCTGGCTTTGTCAGTGTCATTTCGCAAACGGTGGGTGCTGTCACTGCACAATCCACTGAGCGCCCCCAACGTGGTGTCCTGCTGCAGCTCCCCAGAGTCCCTTCCCACCTGACCTCACCTCCCACTTTCCGGGTTCATGTAGATGCTTAGTGGTGGCAGCTCTTAGGGCGTCCCTCCTGCCCTGCTGCCCCCCCGCCATAACTGCCTAGAGCTGTGTTCACTCATCTGAGTTTTCCAGGTAATTTCCAGGGGTCTGGGTGGGTGGGGGACAAGGAAGCAGAGTGCTTAGGACTACAGATACGGGTCTCACAGACCTGCCTGGGGATGGGATGATGGATAATTTCTTGTGTGTGTGTTTCCTCTCTGCTTTTCTGTATATTCCACTGAAATCCTGACTCGACTCCTTTCAAACAAGGTGACTTTGGGCCTCAAGTTCCTAGGGTGTAGAAGTGGAACAGAATCCCCACCTCACTGGTTCACTGTGGGATTTAGGGAGCGACACTTCTTAAATTGCTGCAGGCTGTGGCTGGCCCTTGCTGGGCAATCAATAAGTGGTACGGCTGTTACTGCTCTGTTAGTGCTCGTGGGTGCCATCTTGGCGTCTGACTCGAGTCAAAGCAGCTTGCAGTGTTCACTGACGCTGGCCTCCCTCAGGGCTCTGGGTTTTTGTTGTTGTTCTTACTGTTTTAAGATATAATTCACGTAGCATAATGTTCGTTATTTAAATGTGTACAGTTCGGTAGTTTGTAGTATATTCATAAGGCTGTACAACCATTACCATTGTCTAATTCCGGGGCGTTCTCACCTCCCCAGAAGGAAACCCCGTGCCCATGAGCAGTCACTTCCTGTCCGCACCCACTGCAGTCCTTGGCACCCCTCATCTGCTTTCTGTCTATGAATTTGCTTATTCTGAACATCTCAGATCAATAGAATCGTCCATGCTGTGGCCTTTTGTGACTGGCTTCTGTCACTGAGAGTAAGGTTTTCAGGGTTTCTCCATGTTGTCACATGGGTCAGTACTTCATTCCTTTTTATGGCCGACAGTACTCCATTTATGGCTCTACCACATTTTGCTTGTCTGTTTGCGAGCTGATGGACATTGAGCCGTTTCCACGTTTGGGTGATTGTACGAACCAGTGGTAGACAAGTTTTGCGTGGACATATATTTCCTATTCTCTTGGGTGTATACCTAGGAGTGGAGCTGCTGGGTGGGCAGTAACTCTATGTTTAACTTTTTGGGGAACTGCCAGACTGTTTTCCTCAGGGCTCTGATTTGGAAGGACCCTCGTTGCTTAGACGTGACTTTCATGTTAGCTGAAGAAGAGAGTCCTGCCAGGGGCCTGGAAAGGAGGGGTCTGACCACCGGCACTGAGAGGCCGCAGCCTCCCCTCCCAGCCCCCCGGGGTCCCAGCCCTGTGCTACCCCTTCCTCCCTGCTTGTCTCTCCTTTGCTGGCCGTGTCGTTGGCATTCTCCCTGCTTGAAACCACACGGCCATCCCCCGCGTCCTCACCTCTTGGGATGGTCTGGGTGCCTGGGCCCTCTGCCCTGGAAAAGAGCACGTTTGAGGCTGAGTTACCGCACGCTGACTTTACCCACTCATTCTAGATCTGGAAACGTGCTGAGCCAAAGAACAGTGTCCTTTCAAAGTCCTCTGGAGAGGATTTCTCCTCAGACATGTCCACTTCCCTAGTAATAAGTGAGTCCAAGCAAGGAAAGAACTTGTCAGCTGTGCAAACTTGGGCACATTCTTTTTTTTTTTTTTTGAGGAAGATTAGCCCTGAGCTAACATCTGCCTCCAATTCTCCTCTTTTTGTTGAGGAACACTGGCCTTGAGCTGACATCTGTGCCCATCTTCCTCTACTTTATATGTGGGACGCCTACCACAGCATGGCTTGCCAAGCGGTGCCATGTCCACACCCGGGATCTGAACTGGCGAACCCCAGGCCGCTGAAGTGGAACGTGCACACTTAACCACTGTGCCATCGGGCCAGCCCCTTGGGTACCTTCTTTAGCCTCTCTGAGTCTCGGTTTCTTCATCTGTAAAATGGGTTTAAAATTGCCTCCCTGATAAGGGGATTAAGTGAGCCACTGTGGACACAGTTCCCAGTATAATGCTCAAGACACCCAAGAAACGTGAATTTTCACCCGGCTGCCCTCCCTCCAGGTCAGGTGGGAGCAGCTTATACCGACACAGGGATTTTTCAGAACCAATTGTTCCCTCGCCTTTTTTTCTCTCCCTCCCTCCCATCCCCATCTCTTTCCTTCCACCTTTTCTCCTCTCCCCATGCCTCTGTTTTACTCTGCCCTCAGCTCCAGCCCCAGACAGGGCCTTGAGAGCCTCACGCTGTAGACCCAGGAACTGCCAGTTCTCAGATGGCTCCGGGGGCCAAATCCTCTTAGGGCGGATCGGATTATGCCCTGGGTCATTTTGCAGCACAGATTCCCAGGTCATGGTGGTGGCACCCACAGTGAGGGAGTGTCCAGCCTGGCAGCCCCTGGGTCCCCAGGGAACGTGGACTCCCGAAGAGGGCACAGGGTCTAATTCTACCTGTCGGCCTCCCTGGGTTTCAGTTTCCTTCCCCAGGAGATCCTAGCCAGAGGCGGGGCCTTTGAGTGACACTCAGATTGCAAGTCACCTGAGGAGTCTGTGCCGGGAGAGGAAGCTGGGGTTTACAGATCACCCGGTGCCAGGGCAGACACACACCTGCTGAGGGTCCAGCGGGCCAGACAAGATGTGGGGGCAAAGGGCTGCAGATGAATAAGTGAACAAATGAGTGAATGAATTGGGTTCCAGGCTGAATATTCATAATGCATGGATTATTATTTTTAAGTAACTTTATAAATAACAAAAGACTACATAATTAATATAGAAAGTTTAAGAAGAGAAAAACAGGGACAAAAGCCATAATCCCATCACCTTTTTTTTTTCTTTTTTTTTTTAAGATTGGCACCTGAGGGGCCAGCCCCATGGCCAAGTGGTTAAGTTTGCACGCTCCACTTTGGTGGCCCAGGGTTTCACTGGTTTGGATCCTGGGCGAGGACATGGTACCGCTCGTCAGGCCACGCTGAGGCGGCACCCCACATGCCACAACTAGAAGGACATGCAACTAAAATATACAGCTGTGTACTGGGGGGGTTTGGGGAGAAAAAGCAAAAGAAAAAAAAAGGAAAAAATTGGCAACAGTTGTTAGCTCAGGTGCCAATCTTTAAAAAAAAACAAAAAGATTGGCACCTGAGCTAACTGTTGCCAGTCTTCTTTTTTTTTCTTCTCTCCAAAGCCCCCCAGTACATAGTTGTGTGTTCTAGTTGTGAGTGCCTCTGGTTGTGCTATGTGGGACGTGGCCTTAACATGGCCTGATGAGCAGGGCCGTGTCCGCCCCCAGGATCCGAACCAGTGAAACCCTGGACCACCAAGCGGAGCGCACAAACTTAACCACTCGGCCACGGGGCCTGCCCCATCCCATCACCTTTAAGATGAATTTCTTCAAAAGTGACAGTTCATTCAGAAAACTAAAAAGCAAAAAAACAGGGCTTAGTTAGGAATCACTGATTATGACCCCACTAGGGCCCTGTGCAGGGATGTGTCTCCCAGGCAAAAGTGGTTTCCTTGTAACGCCTCTCAGGCCATCCCCCCTGAAATTGGGGAATGTGCTTGGAAGAATCCTCTCTTCAAGGAACCGGACTACATAGAAAGTTCTCAGCCTTCGGGGTGAGCCTAAGCTTTCCTTGAGAGTGGGTTGGCACATGCGTGCCCAGAAAGACAAGCCACCCTCTCTTCCCGGCCCTCCTGGCTGCCAGACCTCTTTTCTTGGGAGATGTGCTTCTAACACCTTTTCCCCCTGTTTCTGTTCCCAGTGTCAGCTGAGTCCAAGGCAGCATCAGGGGATGGAAACACCTAGCCCAGGCAGCGCAGGCCCAGTCATTAGTGACCCCTGGTCTGACTTCTCTCTCATTTCCAGCTGTCAGGAATGACAGGAACAAGAAAAAGAAGGAGCCTTCGAAGCAGGAATGCACGGAAAGCTATGAAATGACGGCTGAGCTGGATGATCTCACAGAGAAGATCCGAAAAGCTCACCAGGAAACCTTCCCCTCGCTCTGCCAGCTGGGTAAATACACCACGGTAAGAGACGCTTCCGCCTGGGGCTGCTGAGAGGATGGGTGCAGGCCCTGACGTGTACGCACTCACACATACCCACACTCACACTCATGCGCTCATTCTCTCTCTCTCCTGGGCCTGGCAGGGATGTCCACCCAAACTCAGCCCAGGACGTGCATGTGGTCTGAGTGGGGCCGGGAGCAGCCCCTCCCTAGGTGTGACAGTCTTCAGACAGTCACGGAGGAGGGTGGGTGTTTCCTGCGAGTCAGTCATGCGTACACTCACTCAAGAAGCACCAAGGGAGACTTCTATGCCAGGCTGCGCGTGAGGTGCCGGCGACATGAATGAGCAAGATATGGCTGCTGCTCTCAGGACTTATGGTCGGGTGAAGGAGGCAAGTAAAACAGAGAGGTGGTACGTGGGTTTTGACAGACCCCCATACAGAGCCCAGGGGGAACCCAGAGGTAACCCAGAGGGGCCTGTGTTCAATCTTTTAAACACACCCATCCACCTGTAAGATCCAACCAAGATTATGGAGGCCCTCCCCTGGCTTCAGAGAGGGTTTGTGTAAAACCCCTAAGCCAGGGCCCCGAAAAGCACAGGGCAGGCGGGAGCCTTCTCTAGGTCGGTGGGTGGTCCCCCTCGGCTCCGTCGCTTTCACTGAGGTTAGAAATAAATGGGGCCGGCCTGGTGGCGCAGTGGTTAAGTGCGCACATTCGGCTTCGGTGGCCTGGGGTTCGCCGGTTCAGATCCCGGGTGCAGACATGGCACCACTTGGCAAAAGCCATGCTGTGGTAGGCGTCCCACATATAAAGTAGAGGAAGATGGGCACGGATGTTAGCTCAGGGCCAGGCTTCCTCAACAAAAAGAAGAGGATTGGCAGCAGATGTTAGCTCAGGGCGAATCTTCCTAAAAAAAGAGAGGAGGGGAGGGAGAGAAAGTGGAATCAAAAACTAGGAAGCATATGGGGGCTGGTCTGGGATGTGACAGTAGAGACGTCGTGAGGTATTTTAATTTTTTAAAGTGGTTTTTGCATGCATTATGTTTACTGATATATATTCCCAGT